AATTGTTAACTTTCGTCTATAAACATGCATAGCACCATAGATATCACAAATATATTGTCTCCATTAGTTGCCATTCGTGAAAATTAAAATCTAATGCTTATAATTTTATTGCCATATCTCACCCTCAAAACCAAAATTCAGCAATGTAAGCACAGCTGCTCGAGAGAAAAACAAGAGCGGAACAAGGGTACCCAAGAAAATCACTATTATATAAAGTTGGTTTTTAATATAGTATTATTTCCTCGAAAATTCCTATCTCAAAAAAACAAGAAACCATTGACGTATAACAGCGAGAAAAAATACAGTTGAAAAACATTTTAGACAATATTCTGATTTATTATTATTTATATTATAAAAATTATAAATTATTATAAATTAAACTCCCAGCAACCTTTACAATCTTATATAATCCAGCTATTATGTAGGTAAGAAATTGGATTTATATAACAAAATAGCTCAAAGACCTTTGGGTTTTAAGGTATTTTGTTGAACCCAGTAAATGATTAATTAAATTAAATATAACTGACGTCCAAGGCCTAGGTGTTACAAGTAGGCTTATTTAATATTAAGTAAATTCTAGGGTATATTGAATAGAACAAAAGCATACTTTTGCTTATCAAATATTTTGCTTTAGTAAATATTTATACAGTGATAATGGGTTTGCTTTTTATAGGGCCTTGTTGATTCGACCAACCGTTATGAAATTTTATATACGTATAGATGGTATTTATGACAAGGAAGGACAAAAGCTACTGTGTTTTTTTTCTTTTACATTTACATAATAATATATCATAGTTTATGTACATAAATTGACGTAGGTTGTACTTCATTCAATTCTACTGAAACTACAGAAATTATTTTAATTTATACACACAAATGTTACTGAATGTTTGAACTGACAAAACTGATAATTAAATTACCGTTATCAAAATATTGAATATTTACCGTCGCCAGGCATGATTTGTCTAACTTTACATAAATTAATTTTAACTTGTCGAAAATTAATTTCTTAAAGTTTAATTGTAAACAAGTAAAGTTACAAATTTTTAAAAGGGAGGAATTAACTTAACTGTATATTTCATTCTTTTTGTGAACCGGTTTTCTTTATCCTACTTTTAATTGTAAAACTTAGTTTCGTACTTATGAGTTTGTTTTTTAAATTAAATTCAAATCTTTATTTAAGGAGACTTGTTTACAGGCTCTTTTAAAGCATTTCATTTTCATGATTCTACTTCTGGGTTCATTTTATTTTAATTTTCATACTTTACTTTTACTATATTACTGTTTATTATATAATAATATATAGACAATTATATAATGAACAATAAGACGTAAATGTTTTCTAACTTTCTAAAAAGCATGATTGAAATTATTTTGATGCAGGTAGGATTGCTTCATTTGACATCTCTCTCGAAATTACCAGTAAGAATATTTAGCACCTCTACGGAGAGGTAGATTTTTTTAAAATTGATCTCTTGATTATATTCAATATTCGAATCAGATATGAACCGATGAAATAAGTAAGAAAACGAAGCTCGCAGACCTATAAATAGCCGATATGACTTAAGTTTTTTGTAAAAATGTCCTTATTCTAAAGAGGATACTTTAAAGAAATTTAATAATATTACTAGCTATATCCAGATTTTGCTAAATAAATATTTACGGTTGTGATCTTACAATTTGTAATCAAATACAAACTATTAATAAACTATTAGCGGTTCAAGATGACTGATGAGTCTTTAACTTTGGCCTAGTAACATGTCAAACTTTAACCTTAACTGCGAACAGAACTGTAAGTACATTAACATATTATTAAGTCGTGTTGCTCAGAATATGTGCCAATATTAACATAAACTCCTTACATAGTATATTATATAACTGTATTTATAAACTTACCTATGTAGAATTATCGATATACAAGTACATATGTAATATAAATTCTATAAAACAATAATGATAGCTTAACATTTTCTTTGCAGAGTAAAAACTGATTGATACTCTTAACAAACAATGCCTACTATTTGTAAACACAATTCTGCGTTCTAAATATTACATCACTTTATTCGTCGATATATTTTACATAATAAAACGTAATTGCTTGTTAACAATTATATAAAACTAGTTTTTATTTGGGACTCATTTGTTTATTTACATTATCCCGTGACCAGTATATAGGGACTAAATTTCATGGCGATTAGTTGATTCATTATTATTAAAGATTACAATATCACTTACTTTGTTATAAAACTTTGGAATAGAAAAAGAATATTCAAACACTGGATGAATTCTTGTAACATATGAAACATATCTCATATATATGTCAACTCTGTTGATAATGTTGGGATTTTGTTACTACATATATCTAAAAGTAGTTCATTTATTCTAGAAGCAATATGAAAGTGTCACAACAGAAATCAAATAAAAAAAAATTGACTATGATAAATTATTGTTCTATTTTATTAGGTATCTATTCCTAAATCCAGTACATACGTGTACTCGTTAGCACCATACTCGTATTTTTTTTAATGGGCGATAATGGAATGGTAACCCCATCCGCGCTAACGGTATACACCGGCGGGGCACCAGTGAAGGATGATAGGTGAAGATGAAGCAGGTCAGTTAGCCCATCGTGACAAATTCAATAAGAATTGTTCACGATGGTTTCCAGGGGGAACCATGTGGAGGTCGACCTAATAGGGCAAATTGCTAACAATAGGGCTGTCAAACTCCATTGCTAACAATCCCGTTCCCCTCTACTCGTTGTATTACTACAAGGCAGTGATTGTTAATAATTATACTTCACAATCTTATCACTTATTACACTCATCTGACTAAAGACGTTATTATATTTTTATTTATCTATACTTTATTGTACACTCTGATATTAATTACTTTCTTAAACTTTTTTTTTAATTTATTATTTTGAATTTAACTTTAAATTTAATTTTTACATAATTTAAAACAAAGTCGCTTTCCGCCGTCTGTACGCTTAGATATTTTAAATTATACAGCGGTTTTTAACGCGGATTATAATTCAATGAAAAGCTTTATATGTATAGTTTAATATTGTTTTGTGTTCATTTGTTGAGATATGCCGATAATTGTTCAATATATCGGATGAAATTAAATTAATTGAGAGATTTCTTTAAAAATTTTGTCTTATTCTTTAGAAATATTTATTTATTTATAGGATTACCAACATAAGATACAGCAAATCATTTCAACACAATATATCTAATATATAATTAATTCAATATATATAATCTACCAGAGATTAGATCTACCATTTATAGGCAACCACAGCATGCCTTGAGTTTGATAAACATTAAAAATGACACATTAATGTGTGATGTGATCGTTCCGCATTGTTAGGGCTACAAAAAAGTAAGTAGATCGATAAATAAAAGTTTATGTAGTTTAAAGTAGCGCTGACATCCAAAAAATACGGTAATTTTATAGGAAGGACACGGTTAATGAACGAGCTTTGGTTTAACTTATGACCCTTGAAAATAGATCGGTCCCTGGTCGTTCGTAATGAAACCTTGAGGTTACAAAGGTAGTACTTGTAAACTGTAGAAGGGTATGTAAAGTTAGGTGAATGATGGGTTAGTAAAACCGACATTTTTAGGGGATCCTGTTATCCTCACTAATATTATATATGTAAAAGCCCGATCAATAAATATATCCCTTCAACACAGACGTGGCCGCGATTCAGAGATAGTTTATATATTATAATACAATTAATTAATATATTATAATTATAACAATAATAATTATGTTGTGTTATAAAACATTACCTTAATTTATATTATTAATAATTAATAATATATACGACTAATACATTATACGATATACATATATAATTTATAAGATATAAGATTATACATAAATTATAAGATACAGTTTAAAATTCGTGTGACAGCAATATACCGTTTAAAACTAGATTTACATTACAGTTTCAGTTACTTTGTTACATTCATTTATTATTAATTGTCACAGTTTTTTTTTAATTACTACAACGTGCATAAACGAAATACATTTATATACTCCCCTTACACATATTAGAGTTACAAAACGTAATATATTATATATGAATATGCAAGAGTTTCAAAAAGTAATAAATTTTCGTATCGCGTGACATATACATACATTTAATTACAATTTAAACATTGGTACACAATAAATCCCCAGATACACAAACACAGACTGAAAAACGGCACTAAAACACGAAAAAGGAAATAGAACGCATTTTACCAAATTCTACACTCATATGTACCTTTCTAATGATATTTAGATATAATCAGATGAACCGAAGATTCTTACAAATATTACAAAAATGTAATGTTATAAGATGTTTTCTATTTACAGTATTTGTTCATTCGGCTCCACTTATTTTTGTCTTATTATATAACGTTTTTGGTGTTTCAATGTTTTATGTGGTCTATCTAAAGACCAATATTAGAAGGATACGAGCTCTAAAAGTGAGCTAATGCTCTATCTAATGCTATATAGATCAGTTATCATTTCTTTCAGATAGTATATCATCTAAGTACTATCTGAAAGGAGATCAATAGGAGATCAATCTTTGAAAACGAGCACATGAAATGAGTTAAAAGTGTACAAAATGGGAATATATGCAAGTATAAAGGTATTTGGTTCTCCGTTTTCTGTGCCGTATTTTATAACAGATACTCAAAAAAATGGGTAATCAAGTAAAATATAGTAAAGTACTAGAAATTATTCGTAGATCACTTGATGCCCTTCGATTTAAATTATTAGTTTCCAGTCTAAATCATCATCGTAGTTGTTTACATATCGAATTATGAATTTAAAAACTCCTGTATTCTTTATGGTGCCCTTTGCAAAGTCACATATTAAGATGCCTTTAGGTACAAATTGCATGAAATTTTTTTAGTATTCCTCTCTGTAGGTAATTAATTTCAAGTAGAATAAATTGTATTCTATTTCTCCTGATTTTAATTTGCTTATTTTTTCTACAGCAAATACAGCCGACCTCGGAGTACTGGACCCAGCATTATACAAATCTGATTGTCTAGATGAAGATCTTCTATGGCCAGAGGGACATGTGGTAAGTCAATAATTTAATTTCTATTGAGCCCAAATCGGTCGGTCACTGAACCTACAGAATGGCAAATAATACATAATTCAAGTAGCATTCATACAAAATTCCACGAAATTGTTATAAAGTGTATTATATTGGCCTTTATACATCCATTAATTTTGAAATATCTTGGAAAATGTTTATCTACTATTTATTATTTACTGATAATAAAAAAGTGCAAATAGTAGCAATTAATAACAGAATTGAAAGTTACATAAACCTGGTAAACAAAATACTTTGTTTGTCCACAACAAGAAAATTGAATACTTAATAGGTAATATTAATTTATTATTTTTGTTTATTGTTTATTAAAATTGACTTATTTTGGTTGAGTTTGAATCTGAGTTTTTATAAATTATATTATTAAAATAAAATTATTTATAATGGTATAAGAAAAAAGATAAATATCTTTTTTCTTATACCATTGAAAATCAGATTAACATCAATTTCTGTAAAAGCATACAATTAGTTTGTACCTATTGTATCCTAGATCATTATACAAACATGTTCATAAGTTACAAATAAAATGCACTAAAGAATGCTTAAAATTAATTTAAACAAAATGTACACGTATTAAATTAAACTTACCGGATGTTACATAAAAGGTTGCTTTCAGACATTTACTTTTAATAAAATAACTGAATCTTTAATTATCTAAGGGTATTAAAACAGCATTAAGTAGAAGATATCAATATCTATATTGGATACAATAATTTATAACAATTTAAAAATAACTCTATTTTTATTGTCTCTAATATAGTATAACTCTTTTCATAGGTCGTATTTGAGAAAAAAATATTTCAAGAAAATCTAAAAATCTAAACTTTTAAGAATGAAACGAAAAAGTATGGTCTTTTATTTTAACAGAATTAACATGCTATCAATCACCCATATTGTAGTGTAAATACCCGTAATTCACCGTTTCAATAAATAACAATATTAATAAATTCAATTTGATATTGTAATAAAATACCGAAACAATATAAATTTTGTAGTCCTTTGAGGTTGGATACATTTTTGCTAGAATTCTACAAATCACCCACGTACTACTGGAAAACATCTAGTATCTGAATATACCTATGTAAAACGCTGTACACCTTTTTTATATAAATCGATGGGACGCCCACAAGTAGGTGAAGGGTCATGTTAATATGACGGCATTTTACGACATGGATAGCTGGAGGTGTAAATTGACACCGTGACATAGTGCACTAATAAAAGATTTGAAGTTTATACAAGATTTTTTTTTTTATATAGAGTCCTTTTTACTAAAAATTTTAGCTAAATACTAAAAACGTCACCTGCAAACATTAGTTTTATTTGTTTTATTTTTCTGCTAAGCTAGGACTTTTGTTCCCAGTACCACTGTTGGTTTTAATTCTATGTTGCTGTTTTTTGACTAAATTATAGATATTTGGATTACAAAAAGAAACGCATCTTGTTCTAAATTTCCTATTTAGAAAGGAATTATATTTAATTAAAACTACATAGGGGAAATTATAAGACCTTATAAATAGCCAAAAGACCATTTATTAGGTTTAGTAGGTTTCTATTATTGCATTATATTTATATTATTACATTACAGGTTTTAAAATTCATAACAAGTTATTTAATTTAGCTTAGTTTATTTTTAATAGTATTTACATTATTTATTATCAAGTTTTACTATAATTTAATATTTTGGACAATATTACTTTTTATTATAAAAGTATGGACGATTTCCAATGATTAATGTGAAAGTGAAAAAATTCATACAAAAAGGTAATCCATGTATTCTATCTTCTATTTAAATTTTTAAATACGCAGATTAAGTTTTTCGTGTTCACGTCGTTGTCAAACTGGGTGCTCATATTAACACATACAGCAAAAAGAAATTTTACTTTCCCGTGAAGGTAAAGCCAATATTTGACAACATATAATATATAAATAATAAATATGTATGTGTTTATTATACATTATATTATATGAGATAGAGGCCTGCATTTTCGCCCGAAGGAATATATTGTTTTCATAGAACATAGATTATAAACAAATATTCTAAGCTAATAAGTTACAAGTATTATGTTAGATAGAAAATTTCGCTCTTTTTATCTTAGAATTGAAAAACAAGCTCACAGCCCACCTAATGCAAAGTTGTTAAACATTTGATAGTGTTGCTGTTTATATCTATAGATTACAGTTATTATTTTTCACCTAGCGGGCAATGAGCTAGTTTTGCATATCAAGGTACATAAAAAAGATATAAAACACTCTTATGCTTTGCTATTCTTGACGACTAAGGTGTTACGTTTTTGTTATTTATAATTTCACTACATGAAAGATTACCATGCAAGCACTACTATTTAACTCTAAAAACAACAAAGTTAGAGGTACCCATGCATGTGATATTTGCACAGAGATTCCTTCTATAAAACCTCGTATAATTTACAAAAATATATAAAAGACAATAAACAATAATGTATTTGTAATAAATACAAAATGTTTAGAAGCAATGGATGATACACGTCAGTGACCAACTGATGAACCGGATCATAGTGTAACTTCAAAATGATATGTTGCCTTAATTGAAGTTCCATTTTGATTTCCCTAGGGACGAGTGTGGTTCACGCTGAAATATGAATCGAGTACTGAAAGGTTACAAGTGCATATTATCAAAGCGAAACACCTACCTTCCCGTACACCCGCACTGGCCAACGCATGCGATCCATATATAAAGTAAGTACTGGTTTAATTAACATTAGTTTCTATATTTGATAGTGAAGTATTGAAACAATTAGAGTACAAATATTGGAAAAACCTTGAAGACGTTGTTAAGATAAGAAGGTGCCATCATCATACATTAGTATTGTGATATTTTGTAGAGAAGACGTTGGTCTTTTGTATAAAATATCTGTCAATCAGTGTCACACCAATGCAGTTTCTCGCAAACAAAAGGGACATATGTGCAAGAAATTTGATGTTAGTTATCTACTATTCGGTAAACTTCGTGATCAAAATGCTTGAAGTTAGAGTCAAATGACTAGTAACTTAAAAGTAAAGTAGTTAAGTCTGTTTAGTATACTAACAAGTTGTATTTAAACCATGATTGTATCATTTCAAAGTTCTATAGTCTATAGCATGTTTCGTAGAATAGGGTAGACTGGGTACGGTTGAAACAATTTTATTTATATCATCTATAGCATAGCCATTAATAAACCAAGCGACAGTGGAGATGTATTAAATAAAATAACGAGTTTCTATCTACTAATTTCCAGTACTATTTGCGTACCAAGTGTTTTAATTTTTGTACAAAAAAATATTTAAAAAATCTGATTTGTTTCATCCGTCCCCATGCCAGGGGCAGTTGAAACAGTGTTTGAGGTCAGGTGAAACACATGCTAACAATACGAAATATAATATTATGACTTGCATTATTTATTTTAATTTTAAGAGTAATCATGGCACGTTGTTTGTTGTTGTTTATGACTGGTCAGATTGTCAAAGAAAGCATCTACATTGCTTTTGTTAAAACTTATTGCTCTTGAAAGGCTAGTAGCTTGCTTGTAGCTGCGCGTAGAGACAGTTCATGAATTCTTCTCATAAACATCCGAAACCACTCTTCATCAGCTATTTGGTTGTCATCCCAAGTAAATGATCGTGACATACTTGGTTATACTTAATGGTTAGTTCATATGCCAATTTTCTTACGTCCTTCTGATCCAAACCGAAATATATATCTGCACAACGAATTAAATATTTCGAAAGTTCTCTTGCTCTTCATTAAAAACGCGATTGTGTATTTTATATCCCATATATTGAGTTTCTTTGTCACCAGATGCATCTCGCTTTCGTATCTTAACAGCGAACAGTAATTCAATCTATTTCTTTCTGTCGCTTTTCGCTAATAATTTTCTGCTTTTTCCTCCTTATCTTTATACCTCGATAAGACAACCTGCCCCCTCGAAGTCTTTTTTCTACGTACCCATGGCATCTAAAAAAAGAAAATCAAATGTTATATTATTTCAACTGTACCCACAAAAATATTTCAACCATCCCATTAAAAGTAATCACGTTGCCATATACTACAAGCTTCATTTCAACCTAAAAAAAAAACATTCAATACTCTCACTTTATTAAAATCAATAAATTTGCAATAATATAATTGCAATAATATAAGTGAAAAAAAATACTTACTTTTGGGGTCTTCTATCAAAAATTGCAGCGTGCGGGAAGCGACGCAACACTGGCATTCGTGTTCTGACTTGGATGCCGCTTCGTTCATCCCTTGTACCCATCACCCTACCCCTCATGGTTTGCAAATTACTTACTCTGTTTCAACCGTCCTTTGTTTCAACCGTACCCAGTCTACCTTACTAGTACGAGCACATGCAATTTACTTTATTCAACACACTGACATCTACAATAACTCATATACTCTCACAAATGTCATTTATATGTCATGCATATTTTTGCTGAGAAATACATTGTAATTTAACGCAATTTCGTAACAAGAGAACGGCATTAGATTCAGAAAATACGTAATATCGGGAGTAGAGCTTATTCAAAAGACAATTTTCGCCTTTTGAACAGAAATCACGCTTTGATCATATTTTTGTATAAGAATTTATCAGAGTGTAGATTTATTAAGCGTTGTTTTTATTGAAAAACCTAACTGCCAATAATTTGATTATTTATGGTGATTTTTATAAGGTTCATCATACTCATGAATGGATCTAGCCAATAGGGACCGGGCTGTTTTGGTCACTGCACATGATAATTTAATTTAGTTTGGTTAATTTGTTATAATACTATTTGTTTAGTTATATCTTAATTGTCACCATCTGGTACTACTTAGTAGTTTGTGTAAAACTGATAATTTATAAAATTTGAAAAAAACAACAGCTGAGTTTTTCTCAGCTTTTCAGTTCTTCACAGTTGAAATTTCATTATGAATGCGCGGTAGAATCATAAAAAAAATTGTATTAAAAAATGCTCTAATTTAAGTTTACTTAAATAAAAATTATTTCTTACTTTCCTATAGACATAGTAAACAGCGACTTCAATCGTTCAAAGTTAGCAAAGAAATAACACACAAAAACAAGATAAAATAAAGACGATATGAGAACCTTCTCCTTTTTCTATTTGGTCCTCAATTATTAGCTATTTGGTTTTAGTTTTATTAGATTATTCCTCTATAGAAACGGCTTTACAGATACAAAGTTAGAAGCTTTCGTTCGCCTTGAAAATCCCGATAGTGTATAGTTACTCACCACAATTTACGAATCCGCACTGAGTGTGCGTTATCCTTTCAAATTGATAAAGGGCCTCGCCAGTAAGCTATATTATAATACGAGTATATCGATTACTGATTTTATGCCATGGCTTCGTCCATGCAGAATTCATCATTTGTCCTTTTATTAGTGCTAACTTAAACATTATGTAAAGAACCTCGGTACTAAATTTATTTTAAAGGCAACCTACTCTAAGGTAAAATAAAAAAGTAAAGTAAATTCTTTAGTGATTGGCTTCATTAATATATTACTGGTTGGTTCAAATAAAACTATTATAACATTGACAAGCATATACTCAATCGATTAATTTCTTTCGCAGATTATTCCAAGCTTTTTACTTTTAGGTATATACATATATCTAGCAATAAATATTAATAAGTAGAATAAAGGAAAAACAAACTTTTATTTAAATTTAGAAAATGTACATTCCATATGAGTATTTTACTGTACTTTTCTTTTGGCGCCATTTGCTAAATTATTGTAAAAAAATGTAGTGAAGTGACAATAAATTCATTGATTAATATTGGTGATTTTATGAACCTTATTGTTATAATCACACAAAATAAACAAGGAATCAAATGTAACTGTTAAAAGTTATTTATTTGATATTATTCAAACTTATTCAAACATTTTTGCTGTATTACTCAGACATACGCCATTCGATTTCCCGTCATTCTGTATATTGTGGGAGATGCAGTGAAACAAAGCACTGGTCAGCATCTCGAAAATGTCGTCACAAAAACAGCACGGCTTTAGTGACGAGGTTTTTATTGCTTATTACGTTCCATGTTAGCGTTATCATAGAAATGTTGTATAAATGGTTCCTAAGATTCATCCTTGTCACGTCATAGTAAAATTTGGGACATTATTTACTTAGATTAAAATGACAATGTCATTTTTATATCATTAATTCATGACTAACTTTGATGTTTCAAACGTGACTGCTTATCTATCTAGTTTATTACTGATCAATGACTGGCAATGAAACGTCTTTCATTTTACGACAAAAAAAGATCAGGCGTCCACATAACATTCGTAGTAAAAAACGTTCAAAGCAGTAGAATAGCTAAGAGCATAATAAAGTCACTACGTTGAAAGAGAGAATTGCAAGAAATTCTACCCGGAAGCAAAAGTCCTATATAGAGAAATGAAAGCATTGAGAACCATGTCACGTATTTTAAGTGATGGCTTAGGACTTTTAGACAAATGGACCGTGGCTATTTATTATGTTAATCCGTTAATTTAAACATTAATAGAGAGTTAAATAAATAAAAACAAGATATATAGTTTGTGAAAGAATAATTAACAGTAATTTAAAATAAAAACTACTTTAATCGAGACACACTTAGTATATATGTGTAACAACTAATACGGCAGGAAACTCTATCGATATTACAAAATATTAAACTTAAGTTCATTATTAACAATAACATCGCATAATAAATAAAATATAGACAAATTAAGAACGTTCTCCCAAAGAAATAACAAAGATAAGACTGAAAGTACAGCGTAAGAACAACGCACTAAATTGTCCGCGAATCCATTCTACAATATTAACGAAAGCGTGTTCTCAGAATTATCCACTGTTAAAACAAAGAAAATAACTGAGTTTATATTCATAATTAATATGAAAATTCCAATATTTACATCGACATAAAAAGTGGCTACTTATTTTATTTTAGATACTAATTAATGTTTATATAATATATCTAATGTTATAATGATAATTAATTAAAATTTATCATTATAGTAATGAATGTAAACTGTGGGTAAATATCTGAAATAAAATATTTATTATTATTATTTAATGGTTCCTTTTTAATCGATGTTTGAAAATTTACCATGTTACACAAAAGCGTGTCTAAATTTTGTCTATAAAAATTCGTTTTATTACAAATAAAGGACATTTGAAGTAATCAATTTTTTGACATTAGTTTATGGACCATACATAGAAAATAACAATTACAAATAAGCCTTAATATACTGACTAAACAATATTTAATCACTTAGTTTCGTTAATGACTGTCTAGTGAGTCAGTGTTATAAATTATTTTTACTGTAAATCCATGAATTTTTAATTTTTTTTACATATTTTAATTAATTTTCTGTGTCTTCGTATACAAATTAATTTATTGAAATCCATAAATTTTAATAAAAAGCCCCATACAATCATTTCACGATTCAAAAGGCAAGGTTTTACAAAACAATGGGGTTTTCGTATGCTAATTAGATACCAGATAGGTACGGTACTGATCGTGCCAGTGAATAATATAAAATTTACTTTACGCATTATAAAATGTTTTTTAAGCGATTACGAAAATAGGAGGTTCTCAATATACCTTCCAATTTTGTGTGTTTATTTACGTCACCTGATAACCTATAATTCACCTGACAAATAAAATTAAGATTGGAGTCGCTAATTCTTTTTGCAGAGCGTAATCTTAAATTTTCACTATTTATATCCCACAGCTTTACCTATGATTATCCATAAAGTATTAACATAAAATATTCTATGTGCTAAGTTAGAATATAACGACCCTTGTACTAAGTTATATTCAAATCCCTTCACTAGTTTTTGCATGAAAGAGTAATACACATCCATCCAATCATTAATTTATCCATTAATTAATACTTACAAAGTTTCCCATTTTATAATATTAATAGGTTAATAATAATATGGCAACGAACGTAAACATTTTAACTAAATCTAATTTTGTCATAATCATAGTCCATAATGTATGTAATGTAATTTTGTATATCTGTATTATACACTTAATTATTTTTGCACATACTTTATACTTTTCAAAATGATATTTTTTTTTATTAGGATTCAATTGATGCCAGATGAAAGACGAGTTCTTCAAACCAAACAGAAAAAGAAGACCTGCAATCCTTTCTTTGATGAAGCTTTTGTTTATCAAGTGAGTAATTAATGTTGGATAAATTAGTTTGACTTCCAAGTGCTTTTAAATATTAACAGAATGTATATATTTGTCGGTTTTAATTATATCTTTCAGAGTAAAGTCATTTTAACCATAAAGACTAGAAAAAAGTGTATTTTTAATGGAGTTTATATTGTGATGATACGAGTATGTACCAACTAACAGTATAATATTTAAAACTTGTAAAACAAAGTCATTGTCGGCATTTGTTTATTTTTAACATAATTTCTTTTATTTGGTAAATAATACCATTAGTTTTATTAATAATAGTCAGTTATTAGTTGATTGTTAATCAGCTGAAGTGTACGTCAGTGCCAACCTCGTCGTATCAACACAGTTAATATCTGAACAGATTTGCATGAAATTTGTTCGTCATAACTATAATTTTTATAAGTAAGTATTGAAACATACACGTACCAAGCGGTGCCGAGTCGCCGATGCAAAAGTTGTCTTCTCCATCCCAAGAATTGTAGAGAATATTTATAAGTCTAATATTACAACTTATATTAAAAAACAACTTATATATGACAACTCTGGTAAAATATCCCTCAAAGACACTTTATTGTACTTATATTATTAATATATACTATGGATTCTTTTTGAAGCCCTGTGACCCTTTTTAGGTGATCCGTTTACTCTTCATATTAAAAGGCATTATATTTTAATGGAATTATAAATTACGTTGAACAAATATCATGTCGGCATATTTTATACAAATTAGCAATTTTAATGACTGAAATTATCCGCAAATAAATCTGAATTTATTCACCATAAATGAAACCAAAGTTTTTGGATGACAAACAACGAGTACAGATATTTATGATTAATTTATTCCTACCTAGTGAATAATAAATTCAAGAGTAAGGACTTAATAAATTTGTCATGTTTTTCATTTCGCTCGAATACTTTCTTTTGATATATCAATTATAAGTAAATCTAATACAATTACATATTTTTTTATGATGTTTAAAATAGGAAAAAAGCTGAGGGCCGATTTATTAGAAAATGGTAACTGTCCCTCAAAACGTGAAAAGCGACACGTATTAATTTCTATTATATATTTTTACCACATTTTTTGTGCATATCGAATTCAACATTTTCAATGTATGGCGATCGTGGGCAAAATTAATTACGTATAATGGATTTAGTTATCGGCAGTACTCTATACTAATTGGGCTCGTAGATACTCTTCTCACTTTCACAATATTAAAGGCATGATTAATTTTATTAAACCCTTTACCCGTATATTACTAAAATAGCAATAAGTATAATATACCTATTTATAGATTATACGGTCTTTTGTTCTTATTTATGATAAGATACCCTTAGAGAAATAATATCTAAGTAAAAAATCTTTCTTTTGTCCATATATATAGCTTTAAATATCTTACAAGTATATTACTTCCTTAGGTACTTGAAGATACGAGTAAAAATTAGAAAAAATAGTATATAGCTGGTTTTATTCTCTATAAGTTTAAATTATATGTACCTTCACGTGCAATTTGAATAAATTGTACGTAGAAGAATTTAGTACAAAAAATGGTTTAAAAATAACCTTAATTCATATTATTATTAATAAGGATGGTAAACAAAAAGCCCATTAATATGACAAGACAATCATGCTTTCTTACTAAGTTTATAATAAAAATATAAACTAACTTTTTACGATGTTTCCAAGTAATTTAACTTTCAACGAGTCGCGATCGCTCTTTGAAAATTACAGAATGTTCATTTTTCTTTTGCATAAACCATTATTTTCAACTGTGCTTGACCTTTGAACATTAAGTTGTTATGTTTGTTAGAGATTTGTTTTTATGTGATTACCAATAATTATAATGCTTGGTCTTTACTACAGGTATCATACCTCATGGTTTTGGTGATGTAACAACTTAACGTCTCATTTCTCGATGGTTGCAGATTCAAATCGCGCTGAATAAAAAAATTTATTGTAACCGTTTATATTGGTATAGGATTTTGTATGATTGGTATCTATGCCCAATAGTAGGTATAGCTTTTAGCGATAACGGTGCTTATTATGTTTCTCTTTATTTATTTTAAATAAATTACATTAATATATTAATAGGAGTTGATAAAAAGGAATATTTATTTATAATACATACACTGCTTAATTTGGCACTAAATGCGCATTATGAATGCCCATGACCTAAATATTTTCATTATTTTTTGTTTTCTATTACCAGTTTTGTTAAAAATAGGTTTATGCTATAAACTGTATAATGTGAAAAAGGTGAAATAAGAGTTGTCACGGTCATAAAATAGGCTTCAAGCGAAATCGATATAACAGAAAGTCCCAAGTAAATAACGGATTCAATGGCATAGAATATATAATGTATTTCGTACAGTCTATAGATCTTGTGTTAAGAATGCATAAATTCTATATAAAAATATATTTATATACATTTAAAAATAATTGTAAATGTATTCGTACATGTGATAATTTGAACATTAAAAATATTTAGTAATAATGTCAATAATGTAAAGGATTACTTGTTTTTTTTAGGGATATTGTTACAATCAAACTACTTAGATTAAAGATGTTGCACAATAACTCCGTTTCTTTGGTTTAAATCTGAAAAATAAAAGTTTATAATATATCCATTTATAGTATTTTGGTATACATAACTCTTTTTAATGGAATAATTCGAAAATGAAATATGTTGACTTAAATTTATCCTTGACAGATTCCACCAGGCAAACTGGAAGGTCTGACCCTGAAGTTATCTGTTCTCGACGTGGGAGGAGTTGGCAAAGGGAAACAGTTAATTGGTCACATTATACTACCACTAAGCGAACTAGAGGGAGATTCGCCGGATGAAGAACCACAACTATACAAACTTGATATAGAAAAGGTAACACTAGATAAAACCGGTCTTTAATTCCATTAAGTTTGGGTTGATCTTCAAATCGTCAGCAATACCTTCAAACTAATCACACCTATTTGGTCTTCAGTCACTTTGTAATTCCTTTCGCAGGTTTAAAGTCAGAATATCTACACTCACACTATCTCTAATGAAGCTATAAAATTACCTGCACTCAACAACATAGTATATAATAAAAACAAAAACATAGTCCATAATTAAAGTTACTGCTAAACGCTACTGTAGTAAAATATTAAAAAAAAATGGTCTAAAATGTAGTAATAATTCAAATAGTTCGTCTTTTAAACTAATGAAATTTGTGCGCCTTGTTATTGTGTCTTCATCAACTCTTACTTATTAATTTTGTTTATGAACCGTAATTTTTAATATAATTGTTAATTATAACGAATTCTTGGTAATGTTACTTCCGTAGCAATTTACAACTTTATTTTTAACTTTATAAATTAACATGTTTATGGAGGCTAAACGAAGAGCAGGTAATTGTTAATACGCCTGAGGTGGTTGAATTTAATTTAAACGATGAATACACTCCAAATGCAAAAGTAATTTTATTAAATTATATATATATATATATAAAAATTAGTCCTTATGACATATTTTATTTTTTATTTATACAACTTAGAATGGCAAACAAGCTGACGGCCCACCTGATATAAAATGGTAACCGCCGCCAATAGATATGAGCAGTGGGTATAACAGAGTATACTGTTTCGCCTATGCTACCCCCCATGCGTAGCCATTCCTGAGGACTCAGGTGTTCTTCCTTTGTACCTTGTAAATTTACTGCCATATATTTATTGTATTAGTTTTAATTTAATTACTGTAAATATATTATAATTGTATGTTGTTGTAAATAAAGCAAATTCTTTTATAATATATTCTTTTCAGGAATTGCAAGAACCCACATCGGATCTGGGCGAGATATTGGTGTCACTTCTATATAACGAAAATTTACATCGACTCACTGTCACAGTTATAGAGGCACGAGCACTTAAGGTAAGATCGATAAATCTAAAAATATGTGACATATGCTTTTATAGAGCTCCGTAGTTGTATATTTTAATTAGTTCATGTGTAGCTTTAAAAGATATTTATTAGATTATTACATTACATTTTTATTTAAAAGATCTGATATAGCACTATTTTTTAAATTATTTTATTGATATGTAAGTCTATTTTTTACACTTAAGATTATCAATACTTTAATATGGCTACCTCGAAGTGGTCTATCAATATTAAAAATCAATAAACAATTATCAGTGCTTTTAAAAGTTTTAAAAGTGCTCTGAGAGGAAACTACAACATAGGTCGAGTTAGATATATCTAAATCTACTATTAATCTTTTTATATATCCATATTTATATCTTCATATACAAATACTTTTTTGCCATAAAAATTCAAAGTTTTAGTGACAACTCAACAAGAATATTTTTGCACGATCAATATTCTAATTTGTTACCAGAAAACTTTTTAAATAATTTGTCAGAAATATGAGAATGTATTCAATTGCTTTTCAAAATTGAAAGATGGTTCTGATGTTACTAAACATCGGTATAAATGCTCCTAAAAAATTTTGATGTGCCGAACATACTGTTAATAAGTGAGATAGGATAACAAGTCCTCAGTTAGCAAATTGAATCAAAAATTTTCATTTGTTCGGACTGCAATTACCTACCTATTCAGTCACGATAGATCCCGTACTATTTTTATACGATTGATACGTTATTATCTTTTTAAACAGACTATATTACTTGAAAAACACTGTTTTTCTTTGATTTGCTCAACATTTTTTATTTATACTTCTTTATAAAGATTTTATGATATAAGGAGTTAAATAAAGATACTCGTGGTTGTGTATTCAAATTAACGTATTCATACGTGTTCAATTTTATCCGAAACACTGCTTTTTAATCTTAATAAATAAAAAAATAAAAATGATTTTTTAATAAAATTTTACTTTGTTAACTAGCAAACAAGTGGAAACTTATTTAATCCCGCCATTTTTATATATCAGTTATGATGTGTTTCGCCTTTTAACGAGTCTTATAGGATGTTGGTAGGAAGTATATAAGTAAAGATATAAGTTATCCGTGAATCAAATATAATTCAAATCCAGTCAGCCGTTTAATCATAATTGAGAAACATCTAAACATCCAAACCACTTTACAAATTTTCACATTTATGATATTAATAGCATAAATAGATCAGAGATTTATCATTTCATGTTGAGTAGGTACTCGGCATCAGGGCTACAAATGACATCCTTACAGAATTCGTTGATGGATGACGGAATATTTTTTAATACTTCCTGCTAATATTGTAAATGTAAAAGTTTTTAGAAGTGCTCCAAGCATTTCTGGTTCAATATTCCAAGTATCTATGAAATTAATACAAGATAAGAATTATGTTTTAAATTATTGACAAATCTGAATATTATTGATTCAAGCGTGATTCGACCACTTATTATGATGCTTTATCTCTGATAATGTTAATATGATTAGTGAATTTATTTTAGATTATTTTTTCAACTTTATTACAGTTAATACAAACATTGCCTCAATATGCTAAACTTGTTGAAATCTTATAAAGAAATATTGAAACCCTCGTATATTACTCGTAGTGAACAAAGCAATAATGAATCGTACAATTATAATAGATGAGTGTTACATACATCAATTCAATTATTTTATAATAAGACATAATCTCTGTTAATTAAATTTGTACTATATATTAATGAAAGTGTCTTTCTTAATTAAAATTTATACTCGTATTAACGCAGTAGCCCTAAGCTGTAAAACGCAGGGCGGTAAATTGAGATTGAGATCGGCGAGCGCTTCGCACACACTCACGTCCCTCGTTTTTTTTTCATCGTCAATGCAGTACAGAACTTACGTCACTTAAAGGGAGGCAAAGATTATGTTTGGCAGGAGCGGCAAAATACCTTTTGTCAGTTTTCAAAAATAATTTAATAATTTTCAATATTTCGGATTGATTATTAAAAACGTCTCTAATAGGAAAGTAAAATATTAATCATGCATTAAGATTCTTATTAAGCTGTTACTAAAAATTTTGATTTTAATTGTAAACATTTTTTAAAACTATCAAAACAAAATATCAAATTGAAAATTGAGTTAATTTTGACATTGCCATACTTTGATATTATTGTAATATTTCTTTAGTTGGACCCGTCCTCGAACAAGCGCGAGATGGTAGTCCGTGTGACACAAGAGCGAGCGTGTCGCGGTGTCCGTGCGCGACGCACCGCCGCCGTCGAGGTCGCTGATGATGGCAGCGCACTGGTCTCCGAGTGCTTCCACTTTAGGCTACGGCCTGATGAACTGCATACGACTAGTGTCACAGTGCAAGCGTTGCAGCCACACTCTGTGTATGCTAAAGGTTAGTTTATTATAACTTTAAGTGTAATAGGTAATATAGTAATGATAATTTTTAATTTTCAAACAAATAAATGTCATGACAAAATTTGCTATGTATGTATGTATATTTACTATATGAGACAATTCTGGACAATTTTTTTAATGTTATATTGAATTAAGTAATATTCTGGAGTAAACTAAGATAAAAAAATATAAAGATTATCAATTTAAATCGAGAATTTCCTCCTTTTTACTATGCAAACCAAGCAGTGTGGTATAATGTTTTGACTCTTGTAACGTTTATGGCTTAAATTATATATATAGATAGATAAATAGTTATGAGTGTTTCCTTTATAACTTCAATATTTATTTCATAATTTAGCATCTTAATTCGCGTAAATACTCATTTTATTTATTAAAGAATTAAATATATTGTAGATACATCAAGATACATTCAGTGCGGAAGTATATAAAACACTAATAAAGAAACAAATCAGCTAATTTGACAATTAGCTGACAAAAAGTTGACCCATTTTTGAGACTCGATGCTCCATCTAATCTAAGGTTTATGGTTATACTTATCTTCTACGATAGCTTGGGAATGACAAACATTGGTGACATATTTTGAATACTTAATTTATTCATCACACGAAGATAGGCTGTCTTTAGAAATTTGTTATTATTGTTTTTGTGACTTTGTAACATCAAGTAGTATATACTACGTAGGAGTAATCTCGCTTAAAGTACTTTTCACGCTATCTATGCAAGTAGATTATATTCTATATTTTACGAGTATATACCAAGTGGTAGTATAATCAGGTATGAAATTGTAATACTATTAAATGTCAAAGGATATTAATAACTCAAACACAGTGCAATGTTACACATTCGATATCATTTAGGTAAGTTATAAATGAAGACAATATAATTATCTGTCATCTTAGATGAATATTGTCTATTAAATTGACTTTAATAGGGTGTCACTTTACAAATGCCTTGATAAAATAGCGTATGTTTTGTGTTATCAATATAATACTTACTTAATACTATTTTTTTTTTATGAACATCAGATTTTTGTAGATCGTAATAAAAGATTGAATATTATAATAGAATTTGATTGAATACTTTGTATAAAAAAATGCGTCAGCTAATAATTTTGACATTTTTGTGGGATGTGGATTTATTATTATGACATACTGATATATAATCTAATTATTATCTAAGTAAATACAGTGTACATTATAACATTAATAAATATAACTATTACTTTATTTAACGGAAGCATGTAAATTTATTCTGATGCTGAGTGTAAATGAGATGTATGTAGATGTAATTCCATTTTATTTTCTATGCACCCGCGTCTTCCTTGATGTGGGTATTCCTAAAGATTAAATTCCTTGACGTCACTTACATGTTTTCAACAATTAAGTGAATCCTTTTAACTACGCCGTTGATACAAATATAATTATTAAAACCAGTAATTATCATAGTTATTTTAGTCATTACCTGTCCACTGGACATAGGCCTCCTCCATAGACTGCCACAAGGAATGGTCCTGAGCCATCTGCATCCACTGACTCCCCGCAATGCATTTAAGGTCGTCGCTCCATCTAAAGGGGTTGCCCTATACTTCGTTTACTCGTTCGAACTTGCCACTCAAGAACCTTTTTTCCCCATCGGTTGACGGTTCTTCGAGCTATGTGACCAGCTCATTGCCACTTCAGCTTGCTTATCCTTCGGCTTATGTCGGTTACTTTGATTCTTTTGCGGTTATCCTCGTTTCGGATTCTATCCCGCGAAGAAACTTCTAGCATAGCCCTCTCCATAGTCCGCCGAGTCATTTAAAGCTTTTGCATTAAAACCAATACCGATTATAATTTCCTAAAATAAATCAGTACAAATTCGTAGTAAGAAATTTTTATAAAGATATTTTTATATATGAGCATTATCACAGTATATAAGCATTATTGGTTTTTTTTTTATACATTAGGCAAACAAGCTGACGGCCCACCTGATGGAAAGTGGTAACCGTCGCCTATAGACATGATCAGTACCATGGACATAACAGAGTATATTGTTTTACCCATGATACCCCATGCGTTGCCATTCCTGAGAACTCAGATGTTATTCCTCTGTATCTTGTAAATTCACGCCATATCACGCCCTTCAAACCGAAACACAGCCATGCAAACAGAACAGCTTTACAGTTGAAACACGAATGGGACAGAGTTATCCAAGCAAACGACTTTTTTGGAAGTAAGGACCCATAAAAATAAATTTATACTTAGCTACTCTGGAAAGAAAATCTAATTTTAGTAACTCAGAAATATAAAATAAGAAAAAGAAATAAAAGAATAAAGAGTTTTCAAACAAACATTCTGAAACCTTTCGGGTAAAGGAAAAGTAGGAACAAGGCCAGAAATAAAATTAATTCACCCTTTCAGGTACATATACCTCCTACTATGCTTGTTTAAGTTTATCGCGATTAACAAACATTGTGGCGTTTACTTTGCGAAGCAGTTAAATCCACTTGGAATAATATTGACGTTTTATGCTGAATCTTAAAAGGTATTCGAGTTATCACGTTCGCTATAATTATCAATTTAAAAATAACTAACATATTTTTTTAATGTTAAGGCCATTTAAAAAGAATTGCAGCGATAGATAGATAGTTTTTGAGAGGTCATTAAATGTCAACTAAGTATATTGAAATGGAGTTAAAATAAGGTTCTATTTTTCAATTCCGTAACAAAAACTGCTACGACATCATTACAACTTAATCTTTGAAACCATTCATACCTTCATGTGAATATTGTGTCAATTTTAAGTCGTTGAATCATAAAGTAATAGGTTTACGGTTTTAGTTCGAAATCTCGAATAGGTAAATTAACCCTTACCAATATTATAATATGAAAGTGAGTTTGTTTGTATGTTACCTTTTGGCATACTTTGTACAAAAGTCAATTGCTTGGGTACCTCTGTCCCATTCGTGTTTCTACCGTGAAGCAGTTGTGTTAGCAAGGCTGTTTTTCTGTTTGAAGGATGGGATATCGCGTGAATTTACGGGGTACAGAGGAATAACACCTGAGTCCTCAGGAATGGTAACGCATGGGGGTATCATGGACGAAACAGTATACTCTGTTATGTCCATGGTACTGCTCATGTCTATAGGCGACGGTTACCACTTTTCGTCAGCTTGTTTGCCATTCTATGTTATATAAAAAAAAAATCTTAATGGCTTAATTAATTAGTATGAAATTTTAGTATACGAGTACTATATTGGATGAAAATGGACAAAGACTATTTTTTTTTCGGTCAGTGAAGATATCTTAATCACGCAGACCAAGTCGCGGATTTAAGTTAAGTAATAATAAAGAACATCAAAAAGGATGGTTCCCAATTCGTTTTTTTTTTATTTAACTTGATTGTGACTGGATTACGCGATTACATCTCAAATCTGAAAAGATTTTCACATTTCTTTTTGCAGTCGATAGGGTTTGCTTTCGTATTGATCTTACTTTAATTTTACGACGGTTGATGCTGCCGTTTTTTTTTTTGTAGAGAAAGGTTTGCTTATTACGAAGTAAATTTAATATACACGCAATATTTACAAAGTAGGATATCTATGAAATATTTCGTTTATAGAATTATCGTTTATAGATAGAGCAGTGTATTTTTATTATATACTAGCGGCCCATCCCGGCGTCGCACGGGTAGACAATTTTAAAATTTCCCTTTACTGCTCTTCTCCTATTGATCGTAGCGTGATGAAAAGTATACTATAACCTGCCCAAGAGTATGAAGAATAATTGTACAAAGTTTCGTTAAAATCCGTTTAGTAGTTTTTGTTTTTATAACGAACAGACAGACAGACAAAAATCTTACTGATTGCATTTTTGGCATCAGTATCGATTACTAATCACCCCCTGATAGTTATTTTGGAAATATATTAAGCATGTACGTAGAGGCATATGAATTGACCTCTGTACAGATTTATTATAAGTATAGATCAGCCGTAAATTGTCCAGTGCTGAGCATAGGCCTTCCCCATAAGGAGAGTATTGTCAGTAGTTACTGCGCTTGGCAGGCGCATTGAAAACCGCTGTTAAGGTTTAGAGTTATTTTAAAAGAGACGTTGCTGTTCATCAATCGACCATTAAGTTCTCTTAGCCGCCACTTACGGCACTTACAGGAAAAGAAGGGGTGGCTCATTTTACGTTGGGATCATACTGCGAGCAGTGTATACTTATAAATAATTTATTTATAATATTTTATAATAATATATTTTAAATCTTTGTATAAAATATATTTATACAGGTTGAAAGAGAACAAATAAAATGTAACCGGAACATGTTTGTTTCTCGACAGATAAGTCAACAAGTAATATGTCAAAACAAACTTTGAGTAGGACTTCTATCGAACGAATTCTTAACTTAAACAATATTTTAAACGGCTTGTGTTTACAGGAGTCGAATCACTGATCTAAAGAGTAATAGGCTTCGGGAAATTGCATGTTGATAAATAATTTAATTATTTTAAACAATTTAAGGTGTGAATTACATTAACGTTTAAAAAATAAAATACAAAAAAAAATATTAATATATATTTAATATCTATTGTACCAAAAGAAAAAAAGAAGAGATAAAAGCTATGTGGAGTACAGCAGCGATACCGATCACCAATCCCTTCTTTAAAATTTATAATGGGCGATAATGGAATAGTAAACCCACCTGCGCTATCGGTATACGCTGGCGGGATACCAGTGAGGGATGATAGGTGATGATGGAAGCAGGTCAATTACCATCGTGACGAATTCCACTAGAATTAACCACGATAGTTTCCAGGGGGAACCTCGTAGATGTCAACCTGATAGGGCTATTGCTAGCAATGGTTAAACCTCATTACTAACAATCCCTTTCCCCCAGTTATCAGCCGTTAACTGCCCACTGCTGAAAATAACTTCCCCTATAAGGGGAAGGGGGTTTTATCAGTATTTGCTACGGTTAGTTGGCAGGTTAACAACCGAAGTTTGGCTTTGGTGATGTTTTAAGAGAGACGCTGCTGTCCATCCCTCCACCAGAAGCTCACTTAGTCACCTATTACGACAACTACGGAAAAAGGAGGGGTTGTTTATTCTATACCAGGACCTATACTGCGGATCTACTATTTTTTTAAAGTACAACGGCATAATTAATTTAAGGGGAAGTGGCAATTTAAAATTTGTTTGTAGGAAGTCAGTAGATTCAGGTGAAAGATTCAGGAGTTCAAGACTATTCCTTACATAATACATAAAAGAGAAATTAGTAGCAGAATTATAATAAATGGTTAAACGTATGATTAAAGAAGTAATCTCGAGATAAATTGGTGGATATAACTTGATTGTGAACTATCTAGTTAGATAAATATCATTTCTCCACTTAGATAATTATTCCTGGCTACAGTCGACTGGTAGATAACGTCATATGGTGTTAAGTCCACCATTTGTACTTTTTAGGCATATTAAAGATTATTAAATAAATTAATAATTGCATTCGATCACCTTGTAGTTTGTTGTTTTTCTTGTAATATAAAACTAGTCAATTCTATATCAATCTACTCCCGTAATCTAACATTTCTTTAGCCAAATGGTGAGCTCTTTTGGTAAATAAGAAAATAATAATCTAAATTTAAATCAAATTATGGTTTGTTATTGTCTCCTAATAAAACGTTTATTAAGAAGTGACAATGCTCTTTCCATATGAAATAAGAAAATTTAATATAAAGTACACATCTTTTGTGAACGTATACAACAATACTGCAGATCAAAACCAATTCTCCACGAACACAATTACGTGAAGTCTAATACTCTGTATGGGATGGAAAAAATAAAAGCAAATTACGCAAATTGATACTTACCGTATCAGTACTTTTATGGAGGTTACAAAAAAAAGGAGAAAATGAAAACGTACACGTGCTAGTCTCAACAAAGGCTTTTTGCTTATGGAGAGACATTGAATGGGAAAACTTTTGTACGTAATGAACGAAATGACATCCCTCGGTGAAAATACGTGCTCTGTTAGATTAAACATATTATAATATTATATTATATATTTTAAAATAAATATTAATCCTTACTTATATTATGAATGAAAGTTTGTTTATTACCGTACAGCGCCTTAACGACTAAACCAATCTATAATTTGGTATACACGTACTATCCACCATATTCTGTTCCACCTCAAGATGGAGATCCTGTCTACCTATCTTTGCCCATCCTGAGGTGGAAAAGGATATTTTCTACTTGTTATACATACAATATATCCCTGTCACGCGGACAAAGTCGCGGGTAAAGGCTAGTATTAATAATTAATAACAAAGATAGAATAGCCGAATCTAATATTTAATGAATATTTATTAATTTAACTCCACCAAGTGATAACTATCCCCAGCATCGAAAAATGTATATTGTAGAAACAATACGTACATACATAAAATAGTTTATTATCAGTTATCTAAATACAAAGGAAGTTGTTTAATTATAATCGGCTTACAATACTATTCAAAATTCTCAAACTAAATAATCATAATTTCTAACAAATGTTAACAATTATTATCTTTAACAAAATAGTAACAAAAATGGAAGGTTCACAACTGGAGTGTATTTTATGGATATATACTACTCAATATCTTTATTTATGCTGAACTATATTTTGTATCTTTATTTATATTGAACTATATTTTGTATTTATCAGGGTTTTTAATGGGAAAGGTTTATTTATTTTCATGTTGGCCTCGTACCTATTTAGTCACCATTGAAGATGACTACTTATAAGCAAAATTGATTCTGCGTACATAAATGTAATTAATTACTCTTTGTTTCAGATCGACTTCTTGGAAAATTTGTGCTAGGGTCCTATATGTTTGCTAGAGGTCGAGCATTGCAGCATTGGAACTCCGCGCTGGCGACACCAATGGAACAAGTTAAACAATGGCACCCATTGACTAATTAAATCTACTAACTTGGCCACAATCTACGTATAACTGATTATTGACGTAAATATATTAGTTATAAGCTCTTTTAATTTAAAAGTATTATACATTTATTATAGTACGTCTCTGTACAAATTTTAATTAATCAATCGACTATAATATGAACTTAGAATTTTCTGAAAAGTATTTCTGATATGCACACATGAAACATTATGCAATATTATAATGGTTTTTGTTAAAAATTTGTAACATAATATCTTTTTTTTAATATTAAGCACAATTTATCCTATTCATAAATAAATTACTCGTATTTTTGTAATTCGATTTTACAATACTATTAAACTATTCACTCAAAACACAATTTCAATTGTAGCTATTTATATTTAGTTATATGGTCCAAAAGTAGTTAGGGTTTAATTATGTATTTCTCAATATCTATTATCATTTTTATGTCAAAATACCGTATATAGTTTTAATATTTAATATAGTATAAAAAAACTACTTATATTTTGTAACGTACATAGAGTAGAACCGTAGATCTTACATATTATTTATCTACGTTTAGAGTATTCTTTTACCTTTTCTAAATAATAAATAAATGAAATAATGTACTACGCTATTTGCTACAATTTAATTAGAACTTCATCCCCTATTCTACGTATATTGATTTACAAAACATTCTCCCTATATACTGCGCATATTAATTAAAATTCAAGGAATTTATATTTTTGAAAATCTTTGATTTTTACATTATAGTAATTCATCTATTTTAGTGCTCTTAAAATATACGGAATTTTGACATTAGTTGTCAAGTGATAAATAATTAATTGTTGTTATTAATCCCTCATTTACATTCAGCCAAATTAGGTTAAACACTACTCTTTGCGTTGTTTATTAAATGTGCTAAATATTTTTTTATTAAAATTCTAGTTATATAGTTAGAGATATATAACATACAAAATCAATTTATATTCACCTCACATTTGACCTCTGACAATGCAGAGCGGATATAGTTGCGGTTGCACTGTGCAGTGCTGTCTCGTTGAGTTTCAATTTATGTCAATGATTTCATCACGGCATCCATATGAATTCTTTATTCGCGTAGTTTTTATGACATGGACCAAATGTGACGGCATAAAATATGTATTTATACGTCGCATGAATAACGGCATGACTTGAATATCAGAATGTGAATACCTCAATAACATTTATATCAAATGTCTGAAAATAAAAACAGCCTGTGTTTTGCATGACTCTCTCAAAACTGGTAACATTTTCATACAAATTGTCACTGTATTTCTGACTTACTATTTCACTAATATTATACTGTCAGGTTTTCCTACATTCTGACAAAAAATTGAACATATCAATACTCAGTATGAATAAAAGTTACGTTATTGGGGAACGTTTTTGATATTAAATGAGCCATATAGAAATATTATTTTTTCTTTATATCTATATAAATATCTCGTTTAGTGAGATTGTAAGCAAGTGGTGTTTGCTTATTCACTAAAAGGAATATATTTTTGCTGTGCAAGTATGCTGAGTGTAAACAAGGCTTAAGACAATGATCTGGCGTAATATAAATTTTGTGAAATTATTTAAAATTAAAATATATTATAATCTATAATAAAATATGAAATAACCTCCATACAATTATTTAATATTAGAGTATTAATAGTTATGTCATGAATATTTTTTTTTATTTCCCTTAATATAATTGTTATAATATAAGCACATGTGCACCAGTCTCTAACGTAAAATTGTATTTTTAAATTAACCTCTATTTTTTTGATGTCATATTTATAACATTCCTTGTTATTTTATAAAGTTTACTGTAGTTTATATATAAGAATTAAATTGTAAATTATTTAACATTGGTACAATAAATTAAATTGATGTTTCCCTTTATAAATTATTTAATATAATATATTGTACGAGTATCTACAAAACTAATATTTATAAATGTTTAATAGATAATAAATATTGCCAATATTAAATATTATACACGTATGTAGTAAGTATAACCTCGATATCGTGCAACTGAAATCAATGAAAAGAATGTAACACCAAATTGGTGGAAAACCATTTCATGTTTTATTAAAACCTCATTTACCCTTCATCCTTACTCCTACTTACAATGTTATTATCATTAGTTAGTGAACTAAATCATTATTAAAAATATGTCTATTGTTCTTAATGGGATAGACAAAGGCATTAATTTTCAACCGACTTCAAAAAAGGAGGAGATTCTAAATTCGATCGTAATTTATATGTTTGCTACCTCATAACTTCGTTATTTATAAACTGATTTAGTTTTTTTTTTATCTGAAAGCATTTTACTTTCAAATTCATAGAAAATTTATCAAAATCAGTTCAGTAGGTTAGTTTTAAAATGAAAATAAATGGTTTTATCGGGATAAAACCATTTATTTTCATTTTATATTGCTATCAATAATATTGGTATCTTTTACGAATGATGACGTTTTTATGCTTATCACGATATCCGAATGATCTACCATAAGAGCACGTTGATAAATAATAACGGTCCTAAGATATTTGAGCTTCATCATCATTATTTCAGCCATTATCTATCCACTAGTGGACATAAGCATCCTCCATAGACTACCATAAGAAACGATCCTGAGTCACCTAATCCTGGCTCCCTGCATTGCATTTCAGGTCGTCACTACATCTAATGGGGGGTCGTCCTACACTAACCATATACGAACCTTTCTTCCCCGTCAGTTGTTGGTTTTTCGAGCTATATGACCAGCCCATTGCCACTTCAGCTTGCTTATCCTTCGGGCTATGTCGGTTACTTTGGTTATTTTGCGGATACCCTCGTTTGGGATTCCATTAAGCAAAGAGACTCCGACTATCTTATCCATAGCCCGCTGAGTATTTTTAAGTTTTTGTATACAGGCAATCGTGTAGGGTTATGTTTCGGTTCTATAATTAATCAATGGCAACACGCACTGGTCGACTTCGTTTTCAAACATTGAGGAATTTTGGATAAAAAGATGAGTTGGATTCGTCGGTTAACCTCTCAGTCAAAGTTGCACTTAGTCATTCGGTTAACTTCTCACAGAATATACTCGTTGACAATTTCGAGCGTAGTGTTCTTAAATGTAACTACACCTATACGGTATGACATGGACGTTAGACACGATTTTAGTCTTTCCCACGTTCAATTTAAGACCTACTTGTTGAGAAACACCATTGAGGTCATTGAGCATAGTATTCAGATCCTCCAGGGATTTCGCCATGATTACTATGTCATTGTTAAAGCGAAGGTGAGTGATGTATTCGCCATATTATATTTGAGAAATATTTGAGCTTAAAATTATACAAATGTTCATATTATGTACAGCTTAGCATCGTCAAGTTGTTGTTATATTTATTTTTAACCGTCTTCAATAACAGATTATAAAAACTAAACTTGGCCAATTTGGTTTTAATCTCTTCACGTTGAAAGAGAATTAACTTGACCAAACTTGGTCATAAAGGCCAAACTTGACCGCATCGGACCAAAGTGACAAAACTATACAAAACTTGATTTAAGTGATAAAAAAGGACTTAAATTGTTTCAATTTGAATCTGGCCAAGTTGAAACAAACTTAGAATTTAGTCGAATTAAGAATATAGACTTTAGAAATTACAATTTAGAAATTTTAAAAGTAGTTAAATTCGTAGCTAAAACGATATTCTCATCGAAAACATGAAAATAGGAATACTCAAATTGAGAGTCTTCTCATTTTGAAGTTGTTTGAAAATAAATGTGACACCCCTTGCTAGGTATGTGGCATTCAACAGATTTATATGGGCAATAAACCTCTGTATGAAGACTCTTTGCACTGTGCTAATACTACCGCCTACGAAGTAACAAAAGGGAAGTAAAATACACTACAAAAATAAACTACACCACTGGTTGATACAAAGTTACCTATAACGCTTCCTGACTATAAAGTGGTTTGTAGATATATAATGTGTTTACTTGATGTATGGGTTAATACCAGCTTTACCCTGCGTTTGCGTAACTGAATATCCTTACTATACCTATATAATATTATAAATATGAAAGTGAGTTTGTTTGTTACCTTTTAGCATCTTAATGACTTAACCAATCACTATGAAATTTGGTGTATTGACCAAATTTCAGTATATATGCAATGGAGAAGGACACAGACTGTTTTTATCCCAGTCAATAAACATATTCCGGTTACGCAGACGAAGTCGCGGGTATAAAATAGTCAGAGCCTATTTCCAAGCAAGTACTACATTTACCTGTAGTAGCAAAGGGAAAAACTAAATCAGATATAGTCAAGGTATACTTTAGGCGAGCAAAAATACGTTTTAAAAAATGGAAGTTTAAAACCAGACATCAAAGCCGTAGACGGTTATCTACGTCGCCCACATCTTATGCCGCTTTTGAAGGTGTATGCCAAAAATGACAATACACTGATAACAAATATATTTTCAGATTTATGATAGTAATATAATACAATATAAATATTAGTACTAACAATATAGCAGAAAGCATGTATTTTAAAAAACATAAAAAAATTAGCTATAAGTACATAAAGTACCCTGTTATAAGTAAGGATATAATTTGTCCCTGTATCAAATTTCATTCAAATCCGTTTCGTACATTTGTATGAAAAAGTAACAAACACCCTCATTGACTTGCACATTAATTATAGTAGTAGGATATATAAATGTGTTCTATGTTTTATTACATGATAAAATTTGATATAAGAATAAAAAAAGATCGACTACATAGTTCGAAAATCTAATTATCTACAAAGTAGAAAGAGTCTTACAAAGGAATCTCTAATAAACAATCCCAGTACGTCAACTTAGGTAAAGCGACAAGCTCATATGTAGATAATGAACGGTTCATGAGTAGTTGAAAATAGTTGCTTACAGTCTATAAAAGATTGAAAAATAATAGTTCTTATATTTATATTAGACTACTGCCACATTCGTCAAATCTTTCGACGACCTAACATAATATTAAAATTCCATAGAATTCTTCTGTTTACTGCTAAGCTTTACAATATTGGCTTAAAATAGCTTCTATGAAAATAATTGAAATAAAAAGCGTAGATATTGCGTACATCTCCTAAACAAACTTTAGTATTTACATAAGTGGAGATTATATACCAACAGTAGGGCTATTATCGTTATATTTACTTTTCTATTTATAATTTAGCAAGTTCTGCTGAATAAGTTTCAGTTTACAGTCCGAGTTACGGTTTGTTCCTGTTTGTAAACAAGCTTTAATACTTCTAAAGCCACGGCTCTAATAGAAGCTTGTTCAAACTTCTTTACTACAATTTATTTGTTATAAATTAATTAAGTAAGGATATAAAACATATCTAGTGTGATAAAATAAGATGAACTTTAAAATGAATATAATATAAAAAAATATTATACTTACGATTATAATTCATAATGGGGTAGTTAGAGGTATATGTCGTCTGTTGCGATTGTAATAAAGCAAAATGTTCCAATATATATATATATATATATAGGTAACTGTTACTTTTTTTCCTTTTTCGTTATATATCCGAATTATAATGAAATAATGAAATTATATAGAAGTAATAAGGAAGAAAAACAATCATAATATGTCAAATACGAAAATAATTTTAAATATTATCAAGGTAGTAATTATTTCATAACAAATTAAAATGTTATGAACAATTTACGCCTGATTCTGTTCACGAAATAAGGTAAAATAATGAAACTCAATTAATGGCATGTCAAATGAA